GTCACCACACTGACGGTGGCACTGACGGGTCAGCGGGGTCAGCAGTGAACGGTCAGCGAGATCGGCGGCGTCATCAAAGTGGCGCTGAGACGATGGACCACAGACGTAGCGTGACGTCACACAAGTGCTGACGGAGCTAGTGAATTGGCTCGTCGCTCTACTGACGGCTCCGACACACTACACGAGCACAACGAAAACTAAACTTAAATTGTAAGAGCAACATGTGCGCTTCTCTTCTCCAGGGTTTGCTGATTACAAGATGTGGCCGTTAGCGCAAAGCGCCAGAGCGCCAAAGCGCGCAACAGTAGTCACATGCCCGGCGTTCGTGATCTTTTTGTCCTTGGCGCCCGAGCAGGCTCCCCCCCCTGCCCCCTCCTTCACATACCAGCAGGTTGACCTTGCCGCTCTTGAAGTCATTGATGGTGGAGTCGCGGTCAAATTGGTCAATGCCGCCGTGCAAGGCCATGCAGGGGTACATGGCCTTCATCAGGTCACGGAGTCATCTGCAGGCGGGAACACCGGGTCAGCCGGTCAGCCGCGTCCGAGGCCTCCGGCACAGCGGAGACGGCGGTCAGCCGCGTCCCGAGGCCCCGGAGACGGCGGAGACGGCCAGCCGCGTCCGAGGCCTCCGGGGACAGCAGAGCGGCGGGTCAGCCGCGTCCGAGGCCTCCGGGGACAGCGAGACGGGCGGTCAGCCGCGTCCGCGGCCTCCGAGACGGCGGAGACGGCGGTCAGCCGCGTCCGAGGCCTCCGGAGACGGCGGAGACGGCGGGCCACGTCATCCATGGCCATCACCATAGGACACCGTGCGACCGCTCCAGGGCCATCACCATAACAATCGTGCGACCGCTCCAGGGCCATCACCATAGGACACACCGTGCGACCCCTCCAGACCGGCGCGCTGGCTGGTCCGAGAGGCGCGGAAGGGTCAGCTAACAGCCGGCCGGGGTCCGCCGGCCGCGGCGGTCGTCTGCACCCGAGCGCTGCACGGCACGTGAACACCTCGCGGCGTCATCTGGCAAAACGCCGGAGACAATTTCGGACCGATGTTTTCAACAGTCATAAAATGCAGGCACATTTCAAAGAGCGGATGCCATACAAACGGCCGAAGAAATCGAGAACTTTACGGATCAAACAACGTTATTCACAAAACCCGAGATCTGTTTCAACAAAAACTTCACCTTACGATGATTCCTTGGGTATATTTTGGAGACCGTATGCGGAAAAAACGCTCGCACACAACGCAACCCCCTCCGCTCTGGACTCAGCCACGCCCCGTCTCTAACACAACCGGGCTCATCTCTGCCATCCGTCTTCTGTCCGGCTCACCGGCCTCGTCTCTGTCAGTCAGCCGCCGCCGATGGACCGGACACAACTGGCGGCAGCGGAGAGGACGGCGCTCGAAACGCCTGGCTTCCGACGGCGCGCGACCAACGGACCGGCCGGCCCGGGGCGGGCGGGGGCGGGGCGGGGCGGGGCGTGAGAACACGGCCGCCGCTACCGGCGACAAATTGACGCTGGTTCGAGTCCCGGGGCGGAGCGCACAGACGGGCGTCGTCGTTAATCGCGCCTATATGGGCGACGCTGGAGCGACTGGACAGCCTCGGCGGCGGCCGCAGCGCCGCGAGAACGCGTACTAACGAGAACCTTCCTCCGTGCAAAAGGCTGCAGGTGCACGTCGTAGCACAGCCCCCTGTGAAGCACCAGCGGCCCAAGCGGTCGGCTGGCCACACGCCAGCACGCGCGCGGGCGGGAGCAGCACCACACGCCGATGCACACCAGGCCGCTGAGACACTTCGCCTGCGCGGCGAAGAACGCCGCGGTCAGAGCTGACGGCGACGAGAACCGACCGCTGATGACATTTGGGTTCCAGGGCGCGCTGAAAGGAGCCGGCCCAGTGACAACCAACTGAGAACTTTCGCAGACGAGGGAACGACCGAGCACGGTTGCAGACGAGGTGACAGCCGAGAACTGTTTGCAGACGCGGTGACAACCACCTGAGAATTATCGCAGACGAGGGAACGACCAACAACTGCTGCGGACGAGGTGATAACAGACCAAGAACTATCGAAGACGAGCCCGACGACAACCAACTGAGAACTATCGCAGACAGACCGACAGCCACCTGCGAACTATCGCAGGCGAGGTGACAACCAAATGAAAACGATCGCCGACGAAGTGATTACCAACTGAGAACTATCGCAGACGAGATGATGACCAACTGAAAACTATCGCAGACGAGGTAAAACCACCTGAGAACTACCGCAGACGAGGGAACGACCAACAACTGTTGCGGACGAGGTGATAACCGACTGAGAACTATCGAAGACGAGGTCGACGACAACCACCTGAGAACTATCGCAGACGAGGGAACGACCAACAACTGCTGCGGACGAGGTGATAACCGACTGAGAACTATCGAAGACGAGCCCGACGACAACCAACTGAGAACTATCGCAGACGAGACCGACAGCCACCTGAGAACTATCGCAGGCGAGGTGACAACCAAATGAAAACGATCGCCGACGAAGTGATTACCAACTGAGAACTATCGCAGACGAGATGATGACCAACTGAAAACTATCGCAGACGAGGTAAAAACCACCTGAGAACTATCGCAGACGAGGGAACGACCAACAACTGTTGCGGACGAGGTGATAACCGACTGAGAACTATCGAAGACGAGGTCGACGACAACCACCTGAGAACTATCGCAGACGAGGCCGACGGGCGAGCCTGCGGCCGTCGGAGCTCACAAGCGGGAGGAGTGTGGAGCGCCTCCGGCAGCGCGCGCCGCCGGCGGTCACGTGACGGAGCTCGCCCGGGACGAGGACGATCACGTGACCGGCGCCCGGTCACGTGATCGCCGCCGGCCGGCAGCTAGCCGTCCAGCGTGGAGCTTCAGCAAGGGGGTGGCGGCCGTGGCCGCCATGACAAAAGCCTTCCGCTAGAGCCGATCTGCACGCGCGAGAGCACGTGGAGGCTGAAGAACTCGGTACGGGCACCGAGAGGGGCAGCGCTGAGACTCTACGCTGGCGGGAGACTCTACTGAGACCGCTACGGCGCCAGTTCCGGTCCCCGCCAACAGCCCCCCCCCCCCCCCCCCCAGCAAAGCACGCGGCTGCCAATGGGCGCGGCCACAACGCGCAAGCTTTCCCTCTCCGTGTTGACTGCGCGAGGACCACTGAAGCGCACCCAATCGGACAGCGCAGCCGCCGCCGGCACGGACTGCTCGCGACCAGCCCTTGCTGCGCGCCGCCGCCGCCACGGCCGGCTCACCTCCAGGCCCGCGGCCAGGCGCTGGAACAGGGTACTTATGTGTTCGCTCCAACGAAAAGCCTGCCAACGCGGCCCGACTCCTGCTCGGGGACACGGCCCGGCGGGGCTGGCTCGTCGGCTGCCGCTCGGCGCTGCGGCGTCGCCGCGCCGCCGCTGGCCTTCGTCAGACACCTGGACTCCGGCCGGCCGCCGCGTCCGTGCTGGAGCGGCTGGGTCGCCCACTCCACCGGCGTCGCGGCAGGCACCCCCCCCCTCCCCCAATCACCAGCGAGACACCACCCACCTGCCGCCTCCTGCTTGTCCACGAAGATGAGCGTGCTCTCCTGCTGGGCGCTGGTGCCCAGCAGCTCCAGCAGTTTGAAGAATTTCTGCGCCTCGTCCAGGATCACCTGGAAGTCGGCAGCCGGCGTCAGCGCGGGCACCGGCGGAGGCTCGCCCAACACGGCATCAGTGAGAACCGCAGCACACACTCCACGCTCGTCGAACGTGCGAGGAGCCTCATCCAACGCAAGGATGGGGGCTCGTCCAACACATAAACTAGGCCCCGTCCAACAGTGACGGGGGCTCGTCCATCACCGACGGCGAGCGTCCAACAACGGCGTGGCTCGTCAAACAATGCCGTGGCTCCTCCAACAAAAAAGACGGGGCTTCATCCAACACGACGCGCTCGTACAACAAAGACGTGGCTCGTCCAACACAGAGACGGGGTTCGTCCAACACACAGAGCGGGCTCATCCACCAACAGTTCAAGGGTCGCACAACATCCAGACGAGCTCGTCTTCCACAGAGGAACTCGTCTTGCAACGCCCACCATGTTCGTCAATACAAGCGGCGACGGCTTGCCCGCGGAAAGAAGTGAGCCGTCTCGAGCCCAGCAAGAAGCCCCTGCTCTTTCAAACCGTGTGAGCACCTCGTCCACGGTACCAGACAAGCGGCTCGTGCCACACGCCAACCTCAGGGTTGTTGGAACACACGGACACCTGCTCGTCCAACACACGGAAAGAGCAGCATCTCCCAGGGACTACACCAACGCACGCACGCACGCACGCACGCACGCACGCACGCACGCACGCACGCACGCACGCACACGCACGCACGCACGCACGCACACGCACGCACCACGCACGCACGCACGCACGCACGCACGCACGCACGCACGCACGCACACACCACACACACACACACCACACACACACACACACACACACACACACACACACACACACACACACACACACACACACACACACACACCACACACACACACACACACACAGCCCATAGCAGGCTACACACATTACCGATCAAAGAAAGCGCAAATGCCGGAGAAGAAAAAGCCGCATCTATGCGCTAGGTCTGGAACCACAGATACTTGGTACGCACCAAACCTTAGCAAAATACAATATCGGTCCAACTTTGCTCAAAATTCGTGAATACCCCGTACCTGAAACGCAGCACACAGCCGGCTAAATAGCTTAGACCATGCAACATTTTCGTCGGCAGGCGTGTCTCGTTACACCTCCATGTAGCGAGCTTTGATGCGCATCCCAGCACGACTCCGTAGCCCCTCGTCCGATCTGGCCAAGCGAGACTCGCAAAAAGACATTTACAACAGTCCGGTGCTTACTATGTGCTGCTCAACATCCTTGCACACGATACTCTTGCCGCCAACTTGTACTTCGACAGGCTTAAGAAGGATGCGGCGCGCCAGTGCTTCCATCTGCCGCGGGAATGTGGCACTAAACAGCACACACTGCCGGTCCGGGCGCACGTTGTCGATGATCCGCATCACCTGTGCGAACCGACAGAACCGGTTGTAACCAGCCCAGTCCGTAGCCAGCGGCACACTGAGAGCCGCGGCGTATTTTGACGCCGCTACTCCGCCGCCGGCAGACGGCGACGGCCCGCCGAGCCAGACATCAGGGACACAGAAAGACAGGTGGCAGCGCCGGCACGAGGGGAAGAGATGGCCGACCTCCACACAACAGACACCCGCCGGGTCATCTGGGGGAGGGGAGGGGAGGGCCCTGCTACGTGAGCGTGTGCGTGCGTGCGTGCGTGTGTGGGTGAGTGTGTGTATAAGTGGACACAATCGTCCACAACATCCTGCTCTTGGGACACACATTAGTCATGTGAATGTTTACAACTCCACCAGCATGACAAAATACCAGCCTGCTCAACCCGTATTCCGTCCGGCACCCGCTACGATCTGTAACCCCAGCACCACCTACGTCGCGTCCCCCGACAAAAAACAGCCGGCACTGAGGCTCGAACCCGCGTCCTCTCCGTCGCAAGCCACCCACCCCGCGCCTTCCGCCCGCCCACCTGCGGCTCGAAAGCCCATGTCGAACATGCGGTCGGCCTCGTCCAGCACGATGTAGGTGACGCGGACGAGGTTGGTGACGCGGCCCGAGTTGGCCGCCAGCATGTCGATCATCCGCCCGGGCGTGCACACGATGATCTCGGCGCCGCGCTTCAGTTCGGCGATCTGCTCGCTGATGCCTGTGGGCGACGCCGCGCCGCCCGGCGGCCCGGCGTCACGCGCGCAGCGGTGCGGTCACACCGGCGAGGCAGGCAGGCCGGGCAGGAGGGGAGGGAGAAGGGAAGGGGAAGGAGGAAGGGAGGTCAGCGAGGAGCAGCGCCTGCATGGAGGAGGCCGGGAGGAGGGAGGGAAAAGGGAGGGGAGGAGGAAGAGGTCAGCGAGGAGCAGTGCCTGCCTGGAGGGAGGGCCGGGAAGGAGGGAGGAGAAGGAGGGGAAGGAGGAAGGGAGGACGGCGAGGAGCAGCGCCTGCCAGTTTCACAAACACTTAAAGTGTTCACGTGAAAAAGTGAAAAGTTCACGAACACTTACACAGCAAAGTTCTTCATCGTTCCGGCCATTTCATAACGCATTGGCCGTCGCAATGCGTGTCCCCGACATCCAACCCACGACTGACCCCGTCCCGTTCCCTGACCCCTGTCCCCTTCTCTGCCGTCGCCCCCTCCCCTCGCCCCGTCCCCTCCCCTGCAGTCCGTCCCCTGCCTGACCCTGCCCTCCACTGACCCCTCGCCCCCTCCCTCCCCGACCCTCGCCCCCTGCCCTGACCCCTGTACCCTCCACTGACCCTCGTCCCCTCCCCCCCTGCAGTCCGTCCCCTGCCCTGACCCCTGTGCCCTCCACTGACCCTCGTCCCCGTCCCCTCACCTGCAGTCCGTCCCCTGCCCTGACCCCTGTGCCCTCCACTGACCCTCGTCCCCGTCCCCTCCCTGCAGTCCGCCCCCTGCCCTGACCCCTGCGCCCTCCACTGACCCTCGTCCCCGTCCCCTCCCCTGCAGTCCGCCCCCTGCCCTGACCCCTGCCCTCCACTGACCCTCGTCCCCTGCAGTCCCCTGCCCTGACCCCTGCGCCCTCCACCGTCCAGTCCGCCCCCTGCCCTGACCCCTGCGCCCTCCACTGACCGGTGCCGCCGTACACGCAGACGGCGCGGATGCCGAGCGGCCGGGCGAACTTGCGACACTCCTTTCCGATCTGCAGGCACAGCTCCCGGGTCGGCGCCATGATGATGGCTGCCGGCGGAGGCTCACGTCACCGATGACGTCACCAATGACGTCACGCTCGGCTGACGTCACAGGCTGGATGGCTGATAGGACCACGCTACAAACGCGCCCCGTCGGCGGCGATTAGTGGCAGGTGGCGGCATGGGGCTGCATCGATAGCGTTATGTTTGACCCCAATTTAATGAGCTTCAGCCAGTGAGAAAAAGAAAACATCCCAAATGGAGCGGTCGCTGTCGAAATTCCCGTTTTCTGCAGAGTTTATCGGAACGGTATGTCCAGACTGGCATGCAGAGGGCGTGTGATGTTGGCGCTGTTCCACTGCCCCTGGCATCCACAGGCGAGCTGCGGCTAAACTATTGCTGAACTTGAACACATTGACACATGCATACAGATTTGTTCATCACTGACAAACGGAAGCCCATTCCAAATCCAGTAGGGAACCAGTTCGGTGGTCACGTGCCCTACCAGGGTTACTACCTGCCTAACGGATGTCGAAGCATTACTTCGCTGAGAAAGTGGTAGGCTGGGCAGCTATTATTGGCGTGAACAAGGGGACGGGGATGCGAGGCCTTTTTCCATCAAGCAAAGTACATCGGTACCTCCCATCGCGCACGTCGCCACATGGCTCGAGGAGCATTCTCTTGCAAGTTTAATAGAACACCTGGACATCCTTGAGCCGTTCCTAATAAGCGCGTGCTGGCGGGGCCCCGGCCGTCAGCACGGCAGCCGGGGTTGATGCCCCGGCTACCCCACAAACTGGGCGCCTGGGCGGCGTCCCCTAATGGCAGCAACACAGAGGCGGTGCTGCCGGCGTCCAGTACATGGACTCCGTCCCTCCCCTGGCGCCGGCCGGGGAAGGGGTCGACCCTTGCCTCCGCCTCGGGTTGACCCCTCGGAGGAGTGCACTCACCGATAGGCCCGTCCGTGTCCAGCAGCTCCGGCTGGTCGGCTATGTGCCGCATCATTGGCAGCACGAACGCCAGCGTCTTGCCAGAGCCCGTCTTGGCCACGCCAATCATGTCACGGCCTATGGACACGGCAGCCAATCAGTGTCGGCGACCACCGCCCAAGGACGAATGGGATGCGTTCATACTGACATCGCAGCCAATCGGTATACACCAAAGCCGGCGACGGACCGATCGAATGTGCCGACGCTGACACGGGAGCCAATCGGCATCAACCAGGACTGACCAAGGAGAAATCAGATGTGCCGACACTAACACGGAAGCCAATCGGCATCGACGGCTCCAACGACGGACCAATCGAGTTGTCCAAGCGTGCACACGGCTACCAACTACACGAATCGACACGGACATCGGCCTTGCAGTCCATTCTCACGCAAGAGAGCCGGCACATCGAGCCGTGCAGCAGCCCGTCGCAATGACGCAGTCTGAACAGGAAATGACGCCAGTTCCTCCAAACAACTGA